AAAGAGGGAAAGAAAGAGGTTTTTTGCTCCTTGCGGCCTGGGGCTGCTGGGAGCAGGGGGCGGGGCTTGTTGCATGTCCCCCCCCCTTTGGGCTCTTTACTGCCGGAGCTCTGCTCCTGAGCACTCCTGCAGGAAATGACCCCTGCATGTGACACTCCACGGGTCACTCCATGACACTCTACTGGTCATCAATCAGTTATCAGTGGCCCTGGAGCCACATTCCTGCAGGACCGCCTCTCCTGCTCTGCTTTGCATCTGAGCAAAGCCTCCAGAAGGTGCATCAGTCCGTGAATGGGTAAGATTGGTAACGACCTGTTCATGCTCATTCTCTGTGGTGGGTACCACCCTGAGGGGGTCAGGAAGGCCACTGTGCTCCTCTCATCCTGTGGAATGTGAAAAACGGAAACGTCCGGGACTCCTGGGAGGGCGTTTTTGAAAAGAGTAGCAGACCGGGACAGCCCAGGAGGGCAACTTCATAAGCAGGGGTCTTTTGGGCTGGAGCACGCTGGAGCACTGCTCCGGCAGACCAGGGGCAGGTGCAAATGGTGGCGGTGGCAAGCCCCGCCCCCAGCTCCCCGCGCCAAAGTGCTGTGGCCCAGGGGAGGTCCGAAGAGCCCCGCATCTGGTTTCCCCAGGCCCGCGCTGAAGTGCTGCAGCTGGGGGGAGGCCCGGAGAGCCCTGCCGTTGGGTCCCCCGGGCCCAGGGAGAAGCGCTGGGGCCAAGGGGAGGCCTGGAGAGCCCCGCAGCCGGGTTTCCCTGGCCTGCTCCAAAGCGGTAAGGGATCCGCGGGGGTGGGGGTGGCGGGGGCTTGATGGGGGGTGGGAGAGCCTCCCTCCCTCCATCTCTTCCTTCCTTCCTCTCTTTTCCTCCTTTCCTTCTCACTTTCTTTCATTCCCTTCTTTCCTTCTCTCCTTTTCCTCTTTCCCGCCTTCTTCCCTTCTCTTTCTTTCATTCCCTCCTTCTTCTGTTCTCTTTCCTTCTCTTTTTATCCCCTTCCCTTCCTACTTTCCTTCTCTTTCTTTCCCTCTTTCCTTCCTTCTTTTCTTCTCTCTACTCTCTCTCTTTCCTTCCCTATTTCCTCCTTCTGTGGCTCAACTCTAGTGACCCAAATGTTCTTTCTTTCTTTGCTCCCCCCCCCCGCAGGCCAGCTGGGGAAGGGACGGGGG